CACAAACATTTTGCAACTGGAGTGACTGTTAGGGAGCGGTGAGCAGTTATACAAAACACCTCCAAAGAATAATTTCTGCTAAAGGGGGCAATACTAGGATGTTCTTATCTTTTCCACAGCACACCATTACATCTATTGATTTTTGGTGGAAATAATGATTAAAAAGCCAAATGTTCCTCATGCTTTCACCTTTTAACTAGGAGCCATTTGAATTAAGACCAAATGTTTTCTTGTTCAAATATGTTGAAAAGTCAACCATTTTCATGGGGCGTACTTGCTTTTTTTTATAACTAAAAATATATGTACTGTGCAAAAGTGTAAGTACCTGTGAAGTGTTGTGCAGTGAAACCACCCTGTGTCGTGTTGCTGTGCCGAGTCTTGCCATTGTGTAAGATTTCTTACATTGAGCTGTCTTTAGCACAAAGCTGATTCTGTTCTATTTAAATATTGCATTTAAACCTACATGTTATCTTGTTGATCGTTACCTGTTATATATCACCTGATATAATTGTTTATTCATGCACTGAACCATATTGCCTGTAAATTCCTTTGTGCAAGTGGGAGCATTGAAGGCAAAGCGTAGACAGACCAAATATATGATGATTTATTGATGTAGGCATTTTGTAGGTTGGTAAGTGATAAATAACTGGTCATTGCATCATTTTTGAAAGCATCTTTACCTTTACAGCATTTTTATTACTATACACCGAGTGGCCAGATTATTATGACCACCTTATGTTTATAGGCAAATTAGCTATAATTAGCTATCATTTCGCGCTGAAGTTGCTAGAGGGCCAGACCATTATAAATAGTAGGGATGCACCGATACCGGCATTTTGGTACCGAGTACGAGTACCGATAATTTTTTTTCGGTACTCGCCGATACCAATTACCGAGTAACGGAAGTCCCATTCAGGAAGCCAGGTGGCGTGTAATGACTCGCCACCTGGCTTCCTGATTAGCCGGGAAGCGTGTAAAGAGTCGCCACCTGGCTTCCCGATTAACAAAAAAAGTCCCCTCTTACCTTAGTATGTGCAGCCTGTCATCCCCCGAGGCCTCTCCAACGAGAACGTGGCCTTCGTCCGGTACCCAGCTAGAGCCGTCTAGCCAGCCAATCAGGAAGCCGGGCGCCGTGTATCTGCAGACTTCTTTTTTTTTTTAGTATTCTGCCAGTTGCAGTAACCAGACTAAAAAAAAAGGCATAAGAATGCATAGCTAGATTCCTATTGGCTATTTCAGTTTGCAATAACCAATAGCAAACTAGCTATTGCACCCGCCCCCTGCTGCTACAATCACCAGAAGAGGACCTGATAGAAAAATTCAGGTCCCCCTCTGCTGATTGACAGCAGCAGTGGGCGGGTGCATTAGCTAGTTTGCTATTGGCTATTGCAAAGTGCAATAGCCAATAGAAATCTAGCTATGCAATCGTATTACCTTTTTTTTCTGACTGACGGTCAGGCCGTGGCTCCCGATGTCAGAAAAGAAAAGAAAAAAAACGATCGCAGGGAAAGGTTTAATCTGCTCGATTGAGCAGATTAAACCTTTCTGGGAAAAAGTGTTTCTCTCCCGGCCGGGATGTTTACTCACCGGCCCAAGATACACAGGATGGTTCTCATCAATACGCCACACGGGCTGGTTCTCATCAATACGCCACACGGGCTGGTTCTCATCACCATGTTGGGGTGTCTTGGGGAATCTTGGGCTTTTTGTCACGGTGCCTGTTTCTCAGGCTTGTAAGGCTGCCACTTCTGTTCATACCTTTGCCAAGTTTTATATGGTGGATGTTTTGCTATCAGCAGATGCTAGTTTGGGGTGCAAAGTTTTGCAGGTGGCCCTTTAAGGGGAGGGGGGGGGTCTCTGTTGGTGTAACACTCGAGCAGTTTGTTTACTGGAGTTGGATCACAGCTGCGGAATACCCACATAGTAACTCGCAGGAGGTGGGTGGTTTAGGTTGGGGGACCCACTATTACACTCTATAGTGAGGTGTGAGCGTAATCATACACCAACAATTTAGAGAGATTGTCACTTGTGCCGCAGTATTTTAGTCATACCGCAGGTATCCACAATAAGGTAAAAAGCAGTAGTTAACGAATATAACAAAGGCAACTGAAAACAATGCTTAGTTCAGCAAATTGTGCTCCCCGGGGTCTGAGGGGATTTGTAGTCCCGTACAGCAATTACCATACTGAGGTTGCAGCCAAGCGTTAACTCTGGTAATAATATAGAAATAGTAGGCAAATGTATTGTGTAAATATATGTATCACACCGCTCACGGACAACACCCCAATGCATAAGTACATAGATAACGAATGCAGCGATTAATCACTGTAGTAGGACAGTCCAGCAGTTCCCATAAGGATGTATAAGCAGTTAGTCGAAAGTGACTAAGTAGCACATAAGGTAGGAGACAGAAGTGTCCAGCGTGAAGAGATCCGAGGATAGGATGGGGGGCCGCTGTTCCCCCACAGGCTGGCTGTGGAACCCCAGAGACAAGGGGCCTCAATTCAGGATTGAGAGCGGTGCAGGTACGGAGGAGAGCAATTGCTCAACGTTCCACATTACTAGAACGCCGAGCAATTGAATCTCCCACTGTCTAATCAAGCAGAGCGGTGTGAGATGGGCGGAGCTGTGAGCGTCGGAACGCTCCTGAGGAGACGCCGCTGATGGGGGAGCGACCGCAGCGAGGTAAGTCTGTGAAAGTTGGGGGAATTGTTTTTAGTGCCCACCCCTCTGCCTGTTATTGCTTTGTGACGTCCCAACGGTACATAATTTTAGATGTTTCCTGTGTCCGTCAATGAATGGAAGAGAAAATAGGATTTTTGTTGCTACTTATTGGAGACTGGTCAGCAGGTGGGGAGTTTGGCCACCAGCAGAGAACGCCCCCAAGGCGGTCTTTTGTTTTGTGCCTAGCGTCCTTCTCCTGCAGGTGGCAATATTACCCTACAGTACACGATCTTAGACCCGTTTCCTGTGTCCTTCAATGAACAGAAGAGAAAAATCGAATTCCACATAGATCTGTGCATGATGGGATATCCGAGCGGAACATGGACGACGATTCGATGAGTGCACAAAATAAGTTGAATGATAATTGCAAGGTGTAAGGCCATCTTTAGGCTTGATAAAGCATCTCATGTGAACACATTTCTGCAGGATTAACCCAAGCATACAGTATGGACTTCCCGAGACATAAAATGGTTTGAAAAAAGGCAGTCCACCCGTATGAAATAAATAAATGCACACATTTGTAGGAAGAATGTAACCATGTTTTATGCTACACCCTAAATATAGGTGTAACATGACACTGGGTCAGAAAGCTGACTTTCCTTTTAACATTGTTTTTTCTTAGAGGTGGGAAGAAAAACCATCACAAATGTCACAATGATGTGACTATGCCAGAGGGATATTTAAAAACATATATACACATATTTCCAAATGGCCCGAGAGAAACATTTGGAAGAGGGGGGATAGATCGATCTCACACACACACACACACACACACACACACACACACCCCTTTCAAGTGGTATTCTAAACAAATATGTGTTGCAGATTAAAATAAAGTAATATGTTGAGCTGTGAAACTGGATGAAACACAATAAGGAAATGTTTAAATGATATGCAGCTAAAAAGGTTTGCTTTGTTATGCACTGTGAAGAAGGGTTTAAAAATCTTATTGCATCTGTCATCCCATCACATAGTAGAGTGGGGACAGGCTAGAATTTCCCCCATCATTTACTGGGACAATTTCTCTTTCCTATGTTGGTGATTAGTTGCTAACTTCAAGGGAGAGGGAATCTCCCAGGAGAAACACATACAAAAGAAAAAAAAATTGTTCTGGGGTGACTTTGTTAAAAGTATTTTTTTTTTGGGGGGGGGGTCAAAACTTCAAGCTTTTTAGTCTCTTTATTTTCACATGTATGGCCAATAAGTTACAGCTAATTAAATATTCTGCGTGCAAAAGAAATATGCACCAAAATTCCTCCTGGGAGTAGAAGAGGCGCTTGTTAATCTCTAACCTTTAGTCACACAAACTGCTTAAAAAACTACCGTCAAAAGAAGAAGTCCACTTTTGCTTAATAGAAGGATTCTTACAGCTGTTTATGACCGCTATCCTGGAAGCACTACACTGGCATGCAATACACATCAAAAATCATACCATGAGCCCCATCTAGGGTAGCATGACCTTTAACATGTTAATCCATACATAGTGAGGGCCAAATAGGGACTAAAATTATACATTTGGCGACCGAGCTAAAATTAAATGAGCGGGAAAAAAAAATTGTGATATATATTTGTAAATGCTATACGTACATAAATAATGTTATCAATTGATAATTGTGGTCATATCATATCAGGGGGAATATCAATTCTGCTTGAAAGATTTGGTGCCCCATAAAATGGGCAGTGACTGTCAGCTGAAGTTTACATTACACAATTTATCTGAAGACTGGGCCAAGTATGCAGCCCAGAAGTGATGCAGATAATGGTAAATGACTTGAAATTGCAGCTCGCAGTCCAACATTGATGGGGAAATACCCTCTGTCTTTCTAAATAAACCAGAAGCAGCTGTTAAATTTCAGTTGTGATGGAAACCATTTAACATAAAACTGTCAACACCATTTAGTAGTAAAAACACCTTCAGCAAGTAGTTTTTTTTAATGTCTTTTTTTTTCCTGCTGTTCAGAACAGCTTTTTTTAATCAGATCATGATACAATTTATTTAGAAAGGGAACAAGACAGTAGAGATTTAAAAAAAAAAAGAAAAAAAAGCTATCACAGGGTAGAAAGTAAATAAAATAAATACTTTGCCAACTTTAAACAATGCAAATATGAATGTCTCCCGTGAGTAACATTATAAAACCCACAATTATGCTTTTGGCACTGGAAAAAGGCAAATCTTCTGTTCTAAGTGGTCATACCCTACTATCCAAACTACTGACTCGTCAGATGTTTTAACATCTAGAAGAAAAAAATAAAAATATACATATAACTAAATCAAGGGGATCGCACACCTAAGTTGTGGGTTACTGACACTGCCTCAATTACTGCACATTTATCCAATCTTCCTCCTAGAAATAACACTCAAATTAGCAAAGCTTTGAAAATACTTTTGTGGTGAATAACTGTGCATGATTTCACATTATGACAATTCTAGAATAATGAGATATTAGGTATGTTATGGATCATTTTTTTCAGTAGTCAGTATGGATGTTCAAGTTTAGATTTTTAAAGTCCAGCCTTCCCTTTCTCCATTCAAATTAGGAGTAAGCAAAAGAAGAAGAAAAAAAAGGCATAGTAGGCCACGGCTTCCCCATTCTGACTTCGAGAGCAGCAAATTCCAGCATGTTTTATTCTTGTTGCAGTAGTCAGGTTCATTTTTTGGCAGTTTAAAAGGCCAGAGCTCATACAGCCCATAGGAAATAATTCTCCTCCAATGAAAGCTCATGTTTGTCTCCAGGTTACAGTGGAATACCTTGTATTGATGTAAAGTATATACAGATTCCACATTCACAGGGCACTTTAGTGAGGTCGGCTGCTGCTGGACTCTGAGGTGTGCCTACTCCGATGGCTTGTGTAACCGTTCACATAACCATTAGTCTGCCTCTTTGTTAATCCACCATTTAGGATATCTTGGATGTGCTGAACAATCAAGTTGATAGCCACTGTAAAAGAAAAAAAAAAATCTGGATTTTCAATTCGGTCATGAAGTAGGATAGAGAGAAAACCTACAAACAAACATTTAAACTATGGCAGAAATGTATGCCACTCATCTAAAAGCAGAGTAGAAAAGCATAATGAGACTATTTCAAAATTGGAGCAGACAAAATCTGGAGTAGTTGCCCAGGGCAACCAAATCAGCTTCTCTCTTCAGTTTGTTTAGTGAAGGTTTGAAAATGAAAGAGAAGCTGATTGGTTGACATGCACAGCTGCTCCAGTTTTGATAAATTCCCCTCTCTGTTTTATTAAAGTCAACAAAAAAGTGATTTGGCCAATAAATGATGAAATGCCTAGTTTAATAAAGCAATGAAATGACCAAGCCAACTGCCACTCTTCTTTTGAGGTAATCTCATGTACTCCCTCATATAATCTAGGGATACTGTGTAAGCAGGTAATGCTCGTCATTCGCCCCAAGCACCTGGGCAAAAGGGTGTCCCCGGGAGCACCTTTTGCTTTTAAAGTTTCAGCATCATTTGTACAGCATCTGCCGCCTCAAACATCAGATTGAAACGATGTGTACAGTACGGAGGAGAGGTCTCCTAAGCTCCTCGACTCGATACGTGTCCAGGGTAAGACCTACCCACTCACTGAGCCCTGGCACTGTATCCGAGCTCTAATAATTGCACTTCATGAAGTTCAGTGGTCTCTAATGGGAAAGTGGGGGGTAAGGAAAGGGAGAAAGCAAGAATAAAAAAAATCATGCAATGCGGAAGATGTGTGTGAGAGCAAGGGAGAGATCTGTACCGGGTGGCTAAATCTGTACTGAAGAGGAAGGTGAGAACTGTAGTAGGGGCATGGAATTAAACAGAGGCAGGGGTAATATGTAGTTCTACTGTGTTTGCCTACCTCTACGTTACTTATTTCTGACATACTCCCGACCCTGCACTCCATACGTTACACACTCTTGACCCATAGCAGAGTATCCCGCAACAAAACAAGTTACACTGTAACAGTTTGCATTATTAACAGAGCTTTGTTCTGGCTTGTCTAACAATTTGCATTAAAACAGAGGTTTTAGTTGCACAATATTTGCAGACAGTGTAATTTGCTTTGTTGCTGGTCAAGTGTGCCGTAAAATTTATTTTTGTTCTGTGTAAACCATGTGTACCATATTTAAAAATGCTGGTTATAAATGAATTTTTGCAGTTGCCATTTTTGTTCAGGTTTTGTTAAACCAAAGCCACTTTCAGCTACTCCTACTGTTATTGCAATTTTTGTGAAAAATGTGTGTAGAGCAGGAGGCAACGATGTCACATACAGTGTGTGTACACACACACACACACACACACACACACACACACACCTCAATATAAATTTGTCACATCATATTTACACTGGAATCACACTGTTCCTTGTGCTCAGCAAGTGTAAAGCTCATTAACCAGTAAATATTCAGAAGGGGTTTTAGTTTAACATGGTTCAGAAGGATTTCCTAGAATATTGTACACCAACAGAAAGGAAGGAACCCATAACACAAGAAATCCCATTCATTTCTATGGCCCCTGTTCACACCCGAGAGTTGTCGCAAGCAAAAAATTTACATGAGCTTTTTTTTTTGGCAGATTACAGCGTGTTTGGCCGCATAGACTATTGGAAATGCTCAACATAAGTGTTTAGCACATTTCTATGTGTGTTTTTGCTCGCATTCACTGCGATGCATTTCAATCTGCTCAATAAAATGCGCACCTTTCATGTACACACCCCTAATGCACACAAAACAAGTTAGGAGTTCCCAATCCCCCAGGTCCAGCGAAGCATCAATGGCCACGGAACGAGGACAGTAATCTTAGCCAAAGCACTAAGAGTATATGCCTGAGTAAGAGCAGGAAAAAAAGGAAGATATCTGGAAGACCTTCCAGAGAAGGCTGCTGATCAGCCAAGGGCCACAGATACACTGTCCCCAGCAAAGAGTACTTGAAGCAGGAAGCTAGGGTGATCCACCTGCTGACAATTCAGGAGACAGAGGCTCCATCTAGCATGGTCTTTGCTTGCTGCACATGAGTGGAGGTGCAACCAGGGACAAAAACTCTACTTTCAGTGCATGCTACAGGTGGAGAGATAGCTTCAAAAAGGTTCCAAGTTTCCCCATTCAAACGTGGCTAATACGCTCAACACTGTCCACTAAGTGTCAGACAACTTCCCATTATGGGAAGGGTTGAGAGTTGGGACGGCACACTCCGCAAAAAGAAAACTCTGTTCTGATCTAGAGATCAGACCAAAGTAGTTCTAAAGGGTCGGAATATCCACTTTTACTGAAAGAAATAAAAAAATAAAAAAACACTTTATACTCGTGCGTAATTTATAGTACTATTATAAATAGTACTATAAATTACACACGAGTAATTATCATGAATCACAACCACCACCTTATAGTGTTCTAAAATATTAATACAGACAACGTTGTCTCAATCACATGTCACATTCATACGGACTGGCTGATAAGTCTCTTAATTGCATGCCGGTGGAGCTCAAAAAAATAAGGTATCTAAAAGGTATATATACACTTTAAAAAAGGTGCACTTTGAAACAGAGAATCAATCACAGAGCCTGTTTATTGTCCATTTGTTGTTGCCAGTTTTGTTTTCTCTTTATTGTAGCAATTGCCAGTTTCTTTCCAGCATCTTGTGATGATTATGCATTTGTTGCCCAGGAGAGGAGAGAGGAGGGGGCAAGGCGGCATACCTTATCCCGCTGGGTGACTGTCCCCTCCTCTCTCTGCCAGCGTCCCATCACCAAGATGGCCACCGGCAGGTATCAGAATACTGCCGCGCGTGCGCGATGACATCAACGCACATGCACAGTGACGTCTCGGCGGGGTGACACTCTGTTACCGCTCCGGGTGTCACCCAGCCTCGGGACGCCCCTGCCGGACATTAAATAACACAGGTTCTCAGAGCACTAGGTGTGGAAGAAAGGATTTGAGCTCTGAGCGGTTTGGCAGTCTGATATTCACAGATTCATAATGATGTTACCCAATAAACAAACTAGTTTGTATATTCCTCATTAGAGGTGTACTGGTTAGTCTGGTTATAGATTGGTCATCATTTTATAGTCTGGTCATCATTTTATAGTCCAATATAATTAATAGACTAGAAGATTAGCCCTATATTAAGAATCCTGTGAATAACAGACAACATTGAATTCGCAGTAATAGATCTTCAAGGACAGTCCAAAAACTGTATATTCGAGTACTCACATTTGTGATTTTTCAGGTTTATCAGGTTTTTTCAGGAGTATCCAAGTGTGCTGGATCATACAACATGCTTTGACTTTAGATTGCCGAAGTGTAAGGAATTAACCTTCCGTCTGTGTAATTAGAATATTCAGACCTTTTCTTGCAGGATACCGATCGGCTTAATGTTAGTTTTTCTATGAAATCTGAGTAAGCCTTTAGATCAGAACCGAGTTTTCTTTTTGCATTGTGTGTTTAGTTAGGGGTTGTCAAGTATTGCCACTTGAAAAAAAACCTGGAGAAGCTTTCTTTTTTGTTCACGACACACTCCCACTACTTCCTGGACGCAGAGTCCAAAGTAGGAGACTTATTCAAGGTGGGGGGGGACTACAACCCCAATTCCAAAAAAGTTGACACTGTAAAAATCTACATAAACAGAATAAAAGTATTTGCAAATCTCAAACTAATGTTTAATAGAAAATTGAAAAAATATCAAATGTTTAAACAGAGCAAATGTACCATTTTTAAGAAAACAAATAAAAAGGTAATTTTGAAATTGATGGCTGCAACATGTCTGAGGGTCATGTTTACCACGGTGTAGCATCCTCATCTTTTAACACGCTGGAAACGTCTGGAAACGGAGACCAGTTGCTGGAGTTTTGGGAGAGGAATGTTGTCCCATCCTTGCCTGATGTAGGATTCTAACTGCTCAACAGTCCTGGGTCTTCTTTTGTCGTATTCATGGTTTCAAGATGCTCCAAATATTTTCAATCAGTGAAAAGGTCTGGACTGCAGGCAAACCAGTTAAGCGCCCGGCCGCTACTACTATGAAGCCATGTTGTTGTCGTCGTCATAGATGCATTGTCCTGCTGAAATATGCAAGGCCTGCCCTGAAAAAGGCATCATCTGGAAGGGAGCATATGCTGCTCTAAAACCTGGATATGTTTTTCAGCATTGATGGTACCTTTGCAGATGTGCAAGCTGTCCATTCCATATGCATTAAAGCATCCCCATACCTTCAGAGATGCAGGCTTTTGAACTGACTGCTGATAAGCTGGAAGGTCCCTCTCCTCTTTAGTATGGAGGACGCGGCACCCATGGTTGCCAAAAAGAAGGTCCTATTTCGATTTGACTTCCACATTACGACAGACCATTTCAAATGAGCTTTGGCCCAGAGAAGACAGCAGTGTTTGTGGAAATGTTGAGATATGGCTTCTTTGCATGACAGAGCTTTAACTTGCATTTTTGGATGGCACTGTGAACTGTTGAAGAGCTGAACAAGAGAGCTAAAAATGTAAGCAATGTGCGCGACTGGACTTTAGAGGTTTAGGCTCTTCAGGAAGTTGCCGACTACAAGGAGCCACTAAACTGACTCACTAAACAGAAGTTTGCCTGAGGATTCCACAGTGGGGATGCCAGGAGTGGGCATTCGATTAGAAACAAGAGCTAATGCTCTAAGAAAATAACAGATGTGCCTGAGAAACACTGAGGTCCCTGGGACAGGGGGACTTTGAGGAAGGAAGTGGAATACAAGTTAACAAAAAGGAGTTGGGGCAGAAGGGTCCTGTGTATAACCCAGACAGACTGGAGAAAGTGCAGGGTTCTGTGCAATATCACAGGGGAGAGAAGATGGAGCAACAGAAGTGGGGGCAAGAGAAGAGCCTGTGGGCTAAAAGAAGAGCTCTCTGCATCTGAATGCAATACACAAAAGTTACCCAAGAATCCACCAGGATGCGCAACCGCCCCCCCCCCCCCCCCCCAGCTCGACGCGAGGAACTTTTTTTTGAAGACCATTCAGAGGTTTTAGCGGACCTCTGGGTTTGAGCCCTACGGGTGGAGCTGCAGTCGGGCCCAGAGGGCAATGGAGAAGGAAAGCATTTAGCCAACCTATCCCTAGACGTCCTATGACAGGGCAGGCATGTGGTCTGGTCTCCGAAGACATTACTGGTCACGGTGCCCAGCAGAGGGCCGAACAGGGGACGAAGGATATCAGATGCTCATTGGAAATATTAGCATCCCCGCTGTGCAACCTTAGTACCCTGCAGATCTGCATAGACATCAGACCCACAACGCATATAAGCTTTGATGCTTGTAGCAAGTCAGTCATTGCAACCGAAGCACAAGTCTCTACCCTCTTTATAAACAGGAAACCATCCCAGCTAAAAAGAAATCCCTTTGGAGGGAATTGCCTCACTCCGAAATAGTCTGACAGATTAAAGTCACTGCCACCACAGAACGAAGGACAAAACCAACGAGTTTAACTTGGGATTCTAACATCTTGTCAGTAGAATCCTTAAAGGCGACCTGGCTTTCCACCTGACTAGTGATGTTCCTATTAAGATGGTTCTCAAAGGGAATGGTTTCCAACACACTCAGGTGGGGTCCTATATTTTTCAGGGTGCTACCAGTCTGCGTAGAGGAATGGAGAAGAGGTTTCTTAAATACAAAAGCATACATGGGTTACTGACTAAAGCTTTGGGAAATTAATTTGCAAAAGGTGTGACTTCACATGAATTAAACAATTAAGCAAATCAATTAATGGCGCATTACGTGGTTGTTCACTCACCCAGGTTATCGGCACCTCTGGGGATTATCACATCTGCGTATTTCTTGGTCTACATGCAAGAAGAAAAAAAAGAAGTGGTAAATCTTTTGCAAATCGGGAGCCAAAATTCTATCTTGCATTAATCTACAGCTCTTAAAGCTGCTCACAGTAAAGATGAATACAGGATTTTGCAAACCAACTTAAAACATTTTGCTGGGATAGTTACAGCATTTATAGATAGTACAATATTAGGTTGAGGAAAGTGCACCCCACAAAGTATTTTATATGCATATCAGGCATGCATAAGGAGCTCCATTGAATACAGTACAGCACTGCAGGTAAACTACTATATGGCGGATAGAACTTTCAAGACAAATTGCCTCAGAGGAGGCAAGGGATAATCCAAGTAGGCGCGTGTGTCCTGGATTGTGGCGTTTCCTCATACAGTCTGAAAACACCTTCAGGTTTTCAACAAGTCCACACAGACATGTGCATTACCAATCACAACTGTAGATCTAAAGTTAAACATACACCTTGCTTATTCAGCTGTAAAAAGGATAGGAGGGTTTAGTTCTGCTTTAAAGTGTATGTTACCCTACTTTCTCATATACCATTAGTGCAGGGGTATGCAAACTCCAGCCTTTCAGCTGTTGTGCAACTACAAATCCCATTGTGCACTGCAAGACCGACAGCCACAGGCATGACTCCCAGAGCCTAATGGATGATGGGATTTATAGTTTCAGCACAGCTGGAGGGTCAGAGTTTGCCTGCACGTTCATTGGTGTAGTCATGTTTTAGAAGTAATTCTTGTACGTGTGCTACATTTTTTTTTTTCTCAACAATTTCAGCAACAAATACCTGGTGATTCCGCCAGTCCTCATCCCCTCCTGAATCATTCTTATTACAATGCACAGAAACATTGTGCAGCTGATGTGGTCAGTTTGCATCCCATAACCTGTATTCATAAGCTACAGGATGCCGTGCTGATGCACAGTGTACCTGTAGCTCCATGGTCAGTCTTGCTGACACACCCTCCATCAGCCTTGCTGAGACTGATTTGACAGTGAATGTGGAGTAATAAGTTAAAGGGGGGCCACAGGATGTCAGGCTTTGATATCACATGCTACATGTGCATAGGCAAGCCCTCCCTTAGGGATTGACAGAAGCTATAACAGGAGACACACTGAGTCATGGTATGTAGAGAAAAGGTCTGCTCTCGGTCTCCACCCCCCTTTACATGGTTTGCCTCAGCAATTTTCGTGTTTTAAATGGTTTAGCTGTGTATACAACAAAAGGGTTCACATACACTAAGTGCATATATTTACAGAAGCTTCTAGGGTCACTGTTATGCCCAAATATGCAGCTCTCATCAAAAGGTCCAGCAGTGTCAGAGCTTGATTTCCTCCTGCCCCCATACATTCCCAATGTCCCACTAAAATCATAAGCTGACTTAATGGCCAATAGATATTTTGGGAGAGGGCAGGCAAGCTTCACCACCACCAGCAAGTGCTTAAAAGAGGAACTCCAGGATTTTTAAAAGTTAACCCTTGCAGTGGGGGTACTCCTGTACTGCAAGGGTTAACTGCTCATTTTCATCTAGGTGACTGAATAAAAAAAGATATACTCTCCTAATCTTCAATCCTCCATGGCTGCTATACTGGTCCCCACAGTCTAAGGACCAGGGAGTCATCATGTCTAATGAAGTGTATTAGAGGAGAGTAATCAGAGGGACATAACAGCTGGAACAGAGAGGGAAAGAGGTGAGCAGTCACTGTGGCAGGATCGAGCGAGTGTATCCTTTATTTGGTCCCCTGGAGTTCCTCTTTAATGGTTAATTATTCAGAATAGCATGTCAGCAAGGCAAAGTGATACACTAAACAATTATACCACTTTACTATATTTGATGTTATCTATACATTTTTATATAAAAATTTAGCAAATACTGAGAAGCTGCAGGACCAAAGATTTGAGACAAGTTTGCTAAACTTAAAAGAGTTTTTCACGCTGGAAGTGAGGCGTTTCACAGGGGACATGATTTTTTGTGGTGATGGCAACATCAGCAATAAACTTGTTACTGTAAACTCCGTAACAAGGACTAGAGACCACCACCTAAAATTGGTGGAGAAAAAAAAAAAACGTAACCACAAAGGGTAAGAGATTCTTTTCAGTCAGAGTGGTTACATTTTGAAACTCTGTGCCACATGCAGTGGTATCAGCAGAGAGTATCAAATCATTCAAAAATCAATTAGATACCTTCCTAAGAGACGGCAACATACAGGGGTACAGGTACACTCTTAAAACCTAAGCCCACACAGGGACTCCTTCACTTAAGGTGCCCATACACCTTACGATTATCGGACAAAACTTTTTGTCTGATGATCAAATAGTCGTACGATGCTCGTACGACAGCCCCATCCTGCCCCGATGATCGCAAGATTAATTTAGCCGTAATTAACAAGAAGCACCTGGACGAAATGTGGTAATTGATTTGTCGTATTTTCGTTTGCACATGCGCAGTGTAGATCGTACGACTTGACGGACGGAAACGCCAGCAACCTTATGACAATCGTACGATCGAGCAAAGTTTTCAAACATGCTTGACCGTCAAAAGTCGGTTCGGACACTCTATTCACACGTACGATTGTCGTTCGAAAAGTCGATCGCATACGATTATCGTCCGATAATCGTAAGGTGTATGGGCACCTTTACACATAAAGGTTGAACTCGATATCTTTATTCAACCTCAAATACTATAACTATGTAAATAAATACAAAATACTTACAGGCAGACAGAATTCTTCAAAGGCTGGCTTCACAAAAGTAATATATTGAGAGAGAATCTGCTCCAAATCACGTCCTCGTTCATTAATGTCTCTTAGTACTGCATGGGGGAAAAAAAAAACAATGGACCAGTTATCTCTCTATTAAGTTACATTAGCGTCTTAAGTGTGCATTCTTTGCACATGGCAGTGAAACATCTGCCCACCCTTAAATTCTCTGGGTCCCAACAGAATGTTAAATAGCAACCCAGGCAATGACTAAGTGGCACAGATGGTATCAACTAATTCTTGGCTCAGCTCATCACACAGATATTTTTTAATAAGTAAGAAATCTTTGCGAAGGATTTCCCGCGATTCTCGTACGAGAATCGTGCAGTGTATGGGCACCTTAAGAAATGGATAAGCTTTTTTTTATAGTTGCACGGAGCTTTCAAATTGGTGTGAAACCAAGGATAGCCACTCTATAGCTCAAGATTAGTGAAGGAGTGTATTTTATATTAAAATAGACCTATTACAACTGAAATGCACAAAATACAAAAATGTGTGTAAACAGTGTTGAGGGGTGAAGTCTCCCATGCCAGGCAATTTTATTGGAAACAGCGGCAGATGTGCTGCCGTCAGAATCCTTGACCAGCCAAGAATTTTCAGCACAACTACTTCGACACAAGTTGATAAAAAACAAACCAGGATTTGTCACACTGGAAATTTCGTTCAAGTCAGCAAAAAAATCCAGCAGTGTATGGCCAGCTTTACAAGGACACAATTTTATTTTATTTTTTTAATATTTAACTGCAGGCTTCGTACAACAAAGCTGGCATATAGGCAAGCATGAGATATATGGTCACTGTGCCCAGGTGGGGCAGTGCACCCTGTAATCTGTGGAAAGAAAACTGCTGTAGTAAGGATGAAGAGCCATCAAATAATTAGCTATGATAACAATAGAGAATGTTAACCGTAAAAATCCCCCCCATCCCCCATGTTATCAGTGGAAAAAGACTGGGAGGTAGAAAGGAACACCTAAATTCCAGGCAGGCAGAATTTATCTAGAAACTATGGTAGGTGAGCAGGGTCGCTATAAGACATTATGGAAACCAGTACAGCATTTCTGACAGGGATGACAGTAGCATGACGCCATTTTAACTTTCACACCACCACTACAAGTTGCAGGGGAAACTGAGCATTTACAACAGTTGCCTGGTGGAGCCAAAAGTGTTTAATGAAAATTTGGCATGCTCTCCCATAGCTTCCCACATTATCACAGCACTGGGCATGCCCACGAGATCTATTCCTCCAGTAAAGGGCCCTGTAAATCGTACCCAACGCACCAGAGCGTAAAGCCCCTATAAATGTTGTCCACCGGGCCCACAGTGACTGCTTTCTTCATAGGAGTTCACCTGAATGACCCACAATGGGAATGCCAAGAAAGAACACTAGGACAGAGATAGGAGCCCACAATGAAAAGCATCAGGTGTGCAGGAGCAACATGTAGAATTGCAAATCCTGGGAGGACCGTTAAAGTTGTCCCAGTTTGACCAGGCAGGTTAGGAGGTCTATCTGGAGAAGGAGGGGGGATGACAAAAAGGTGTACCAAGTAGCATGAATGACCATATATGTCCAGAGGGAAGAGAACTTTTCAGAGGTAGAAGATGGTGGCCAGAATGGGATACAGCTGCAGAGATAAACAGCCACAGGATCTAGAGGCAGAGCATCTAGGAGAAGACCCAAGGAGGTAGGGGAAGGCCTGTTAATCTGTGTGGTGGCACAGCGTATAAGAGTAAGTTGCTGAAGAGAGTGCCAAAAGGCAAGGAATTGGCCTTAGAACCTAAAAGGGGTGCTCTCTGAACCTGACCCAAACTACCCAAGGACATACAAGTATTAACCATCCCCCCACTTGGGAAACCATCATGCTGAAGGCTTCTGAGGGCTTAGCAGGTTTCTTGTTTCCAGCCTTGGAATTCCTATGCCGAGACGGGTGTACACTCAAGCCTCCTTTTTTATTCCCGAGGACATTAAGGATAGGACCAAAGAGCATGCATCCATCAAAGGACAAGCGATCCAGAGAGCTCTGCACAGTTGTATAGACAACTGATCCATACTGGACACAAGCTTAGATGTTTCCAACAAGCCATAACAACTGACACATCGGGCCTCAGATACCACACTAACAGGGCTTCAGATACCTATTATGGAAGGGGAGTGTTTGAGGGATTTAATCCATTCCATCACAGTTCACAAATTAATGTCACAGCAGTGATAGGAGGCATAGTGCCCACCAGTGAAAACTAAGTTAAAGGAGGAACCCCAGTTACTGGCAGCAGACTATGCAGTGAGTATAGACCATCATTTAACAAACTCCCTGGCACAGCTAAACAGTTTCAACATATGCTTAGGTGGGATCAAGGACCCTTTAGTCTGCATAGAGAAAAAAACCCTTGGAACAACATTTTATGAAACGTTCTTTGTTCTAAAAGACCCAGGGGTAGGAACAGTAGGCTGAACCCGCAGGAAGCAGTGTAGTACATACTGCATCAATAAGGGCCGAAACATTCTCTTGTACGTCTGGCAGGAAACTATCTCATCACACATCAGAGACTGTGGGGACAGAGTTTGAGCTCTGCATGGTCATTGCAACTGGTAGCTCGGCCTTTTCTAGGGTTGCATAAAGATCAGTTATTGACTGCAGGGGGAAAGTGCGGGAGCAGGCTTAGAGCCTCTGCAGTCGGCAGACATGAGGATAGGAGCACATTTTGCCACAAAGATGTGGGACTATTGTAGAGGCCCCTGAAGGCAAGGTAGGGGACTCCAATGAGGTAGACACTATAAACAAAATGCAACAGGGTTGCAGATTTCAATTGTCAGTGCCCTCAAGGGGTACGTAATAAAACTTCCTCAGAACTGTTTGTGCTTAAACTGGGGTAACCTGTTCCAGTGGGACCGACCCCTCTGTGTCTAAATACAGATATGTAATGAGGAAAGGTGCAGTGTCAGCATCTCTTTAGTAGAAGGAAGCATCTCACCAAAAATGTACTTGCAACTTAGTGCAGACTTCTGGGGGAAATCAGTCAGCCAAAATTACAGGAGCAGGAAGTGACATTTGTGTACACCACCTGTGTATAGAGCACTTCCAGGTTGACTTATTGCATTGAATTGTTTGACTGTTTTAGAAAGTTACAGTGGCTGCAGTGTTACATGAAAAGGTCATTTTGTTTATGGTAATAAAAAGGGAGTTTCCTTTTAACAGAATCTTTTAGTCCCTGGTGGTTAAATCCAACAAGCTTGCTCTTTATGTCTAGAATATCAGAGAAAGAACAGCTTAAAAATACACTTTATTGCAATCTTTTTCATTGACCATGCATGTCCTTAGCTGGCATTTCTCATTTGTCCGAACGGCTAGCCACCGGTGGCATAAACAGACTGTGTCCCATTGTGGGGCCACCATTAGAGATAACAGACTGATCTGCTGAATTAATAAAATTAAAGAAACAAAAAAAGCACCAAATAGGCATTTCTAAATAGTAAAAGATTACCTTTTATCTTATGGGAAAATTAAGCAAGAGCTCTGATTGGTTGGAATGGAAAGACTCTTTTCTCCAGTTTTAATAAACTAAACACCAAGCAAAAAGAAGGTAAGAATAATTAAAAGAAGAAGTACAGTAGGGTGGGTAGGGTATTCCTTACTGAAGCCCATCATCCCACATTAAGGTCCAGGCTCTAATATTAAACATTAGGCCTGTCAGAAGGCAGCTAGAGGAGATAAAAAAAAAAAACAAAACAAAAAAAACTAAAACCTATCCATAGTTCAGGGAAATGGTGCTATGTTGGTAGTTGAAGGAAAGTGCAGCAACCATTCAGACCTTCATTTGGAACTCAATCTGTAAACGTTGTTCTGAAAATTGTGGCATCGCTACGATAAAATATAAGAGCAAATTTCTCTTATTTCTTTTACAGTATTATTCAAAAGCAGTAACTGTAGCACATAAATATGGAAATTAGTGTCTTGGTAGCACCAGATATAAGGGGAGGATTTTTCTTTTTAATTTACCAAAGTTAAGACATTTAAAATGCATAAAATACATTTTTATTTTTTTAAAGAAGCTGAAGATCAGAAGCTGAAGATCAGTAAATGTGGCCATTACTGGCAGAAGGATTTACAGATGTGGATGATCAGGGCAGGCCTATGACATTTAAGAGGGATACCACACCCCAGAAGCACCAGCAGGTCAGCTTGGAAGATATGAGCTCATGTATTTATTTCTCAAATGCATGTAACCAGAGAAGCTGTATGTGCCGGAAAAAAAAGGGTTCCACACGTAGATAAGGGCAATGTCTTTGAGAGGAGAAACATTTTCTAGGGCTAAAAAGACAACAGTTCCATAATTTAATCTGCAACACTTTACATAATTGGGAAATGTCATAACACTCCCACCGTTTAAGGCAGGTCACCCGAGTTTTGCTTGACACCAGTTTAAAAACAGACATTTCATGGCAGGTCCATTAGTATAGAGTCAGCAATCTAGCAGAAATTAACATACTAAAAAGACACCCAAAAATTCAGATACTCACCTCTTCGCGATAGCCGAGTATCTGCATCTGTGTCCACAAACAACTTCATCCGGAACATGTCTCGGATTTCTTGAACATAAAATGCCAGTATACCTTCAAAAAGCACCACATCAGCCGGGTATATTGTTATAGTCTCTTCTTTCCTTGTGAAATAAAAATTCATAAAACATTTTAAAAAAAGACGCAGAATACAGAACAGAAGGACTACCAAAGCAGTGACAATTCACCTCCCTTCTCTGGATAGAATATTCAGTCTCTCCCATTTCAGTTTGGAAAGAGCCTGAAAGAACACAGCTTCTGCTCTCTCTAGGACAGGGGTGCCCAATTAGGTAGATCGTGATCGAACAGTAGCTCTCAAAGCAGATGATGGTAGATCGCGATGGGTGTGAATGGTGGCCCCTTTATTCCATTTTGGTATATTTATTTAGCTGTGCACACATGATTACCTATTAGCCTGAGTCTGCTGAGCCAAGCTCTCTGACACCTTTCTGGTGGATACTGGTGGCTGAAGTGCTATGTATTACATCAAAGAATATTAGTTTGCAAAGCCTGTTGCACTGCACTGTTTGCAAAATACAGCAAAGTGAGCCAGGAAAGAGAGAGGAATGACAGCCAGGAGAGAAAATGAGGAATGACAGCCAAGAGAGAAAATGAGGAATGACAGCCAAGAGAGAAAATGAGGAATGACAGCCAAGAGAGAAAATGAGGAATGACAGCCAAGAGAGAAAATGAGGAATGACAGCCAAGAGAGAAAATGAGGAATGACAGCCAAGAGAGAAAATGAGGAATGACAGCCAAGAGAGAAAATGAGGAATGACAGCCAAGAGAGAAAATGAGGAATGACAGCCAAGAGAGAAAATGAGGAATGACAGCCAAGAGAGAAAATGAGGAATGACAGCCAAGAGAGAAAATGAGGAATGACAGCCAAGAGAGAAAATGAGGAATGACAGCCAAGAGAGAAAATGAGGAATGACAGCCAAGAGAGAAAATGAGGAATGACAGCCAAGAGAGAAAATGAGGAATGACAGCCAAGAGAGAAAATGAGGAATGACAGCCAAGAGAGAAAATGAGGAATGACAGCCAAGAGAGAAAATGAGGAATGACAGCCAAGAGAGAAAATGAGGAATGACAGCCAAGAGAGAAAATGAGGAATGACAGCCAAGAGAGAAAATGAGGAATGACAGCCAAGAGAGAAAATGAGGAATGACAGCCAAGAGAGAAAATGAGGAATGACAGCCAAGAGAGAAAATGAGGAATGACAGCCAGTGTTTTTTTTTCGTTGGTAGATCTCATGTAGCTCATCATTTGAAAAGTAGATCGACACAAAAAATTGTGGGCACCCCTGCTCTAGAACACTTGTCAAACACAAGACCTGCAGGCCCAGTCCAGCTTGCCAGGCCATTTCATGTGGCCCCCGCACCCCTCCCCCTTAGTCTTCGCCCCCACCTTGTCTCAGCAGTCAGCAGCGAGAACAGAACTCCTCCTACAGATCCTGCACCTCTGTGCAGTCACAGCACCCCCTCTTCTCAGGCTCCCCTGGTATCAGCATTCTGCAGCAGCTGACTCCAGCCCCCCTCCAGACCCTGCACTTTGCTTTCCAGCAGTAGCACAAGTTAAGGGGGGTGCACGGTGATGTAAGAGAAAGTGGGGGGACTCTAACTTCCGATAGTGGGGGGGGGTGCTCTGGACATCTGCTTTTTATGATAATACAATTTTATGCCAGTTGAAAAGGAGTCGCACACTGCTGGTATCATCCACAAGAAACTTTATGGTTCCACATGAGCAGTTGCCAATAAAAGTTCTAGGCATTACTAAAACCAGTAAAATCAAATGTAGAGGCAATGAATTATTTAATATGATAAGAGTAGATACATTTATATAGTCTTACAGATACAACCGGCACTTTAAGGGGAACCATAATACCCCTGGTCTAGAACTTACATATTGCTCATGGAGCTCAGCGGTATCAATTGCATCCTTTACTTTTCACTTACAGCTTTCAGAGTTTGTACAGGACCCCCACAAAAACCACTACTACCACTGTTTGAAAGGCATATCAAAAAAGCTTTGGTTGACATCAACGCTGGGTTAAAACAGACATTTTATGGCAAGTGCATTACTATAGAGAGCAATCCAACACATTACATTTCATGAAAGCACACCATCCATACAATAAAATGGCGCTACTGATTTTGTAGATTGTGATAGTTGTGCAAATGTTCATCAAAACAAATATTTTTCGCTAAAAATACACTAATTATTAACACACACTCTCCACAATTCCAACTAAATATAAAAGATAAAACTCTAACAAATATATTTGTACATTTTTAATTCTACCTTTTTGTGAAACAGTGAAAATCGAAGGTACACAAACCTGTAAGGGCTCATGCAAACAGACTTTAAGCTTCGAGTCTGTTTGCACATTTTCAATGCTTGGGGAGCCACAAGTGACACATACAGGCGTCTATAGAAGTTAATAGCTGTACGTGGTCATGGTCTGGGAAATGCCAAAGCTTTTGTGTGTCAGCATAAACAGGCACCTGCGCCTATGATTTATTCCCTAAACACAGAAGTTCTGCCATGCATAGAGTTGAAAGAATGCAATAAATAAAAAATTTTTAAAGTGGATTTATAAATAGCTACCCATGATTTAGCAAGCTGGATGTCCTCCATACACTATTGTGGTACAGATTGTCCTCTCTAGAGCTTATATTCTGATAGTATGAATAGGTCACATCTTTTCTCAGTAGTCTGTACTCAAATTTCATATTATACCGTGTTGGTATGCACTAAAATATTTTAACTTTTTAGAAAAAAAAAAAATTCAGCTTTGATAAAATTTTGCACAAATATTGTGGGTCAAAAAAACAACAACACACACACAATGCCAACACTGGGGGCCTACAATGGCTTTTCAAATGAAGAAAATTTGCCTTTTACTGTTAATCTAAAAAAAAAAAAAAAATTCAGGCAGCAAAATCATCACCACGGCAAATGAGGCAAAGACAGAAGTCACTAGGTGAATTTGCACTTCGCTTAGTAAAGGAGGTGAAGGAGGTGAAGCTGTGCAGATTTCTCTCGTTCAGCCTGGCCATGTATGGTTCGCTTAAATCGTAATCTTAGCAAAGGGAGCCATACAATTGAGTATATTGGAATAAGACATATACAAGAGGGAAATTACCATCAGGTAATATATCCATCTTTGTAACACATACAACTACCTGATACAGTGCAAGAAAAGAAAAAAATCCCTCCTGCCAGAATAAATATGAAGGCTGAAGCATTTACAGACAATATCTTATTACTCTACTGATGAAGCAAATATAAGACAACAGTTCATGACTGCTCTATCTGTACAATACAAGGTGTGCATATGTACAGTAAAAGGATTTCAAGGCACCAATATATTGACAGTAACAAGGTACCATATCTACACACTATAGCGATAGCCAAGTTTCGTAAATACCTGGCGTGTGAAACAAAGTCATACACAGGAATCTGTACAGTCTTCCCCTCCATGATCTCTCGAAGAGTTTTCAAGATAAGTTCATTGTCAAAGGCATCTGAAATGAGGAATAGGCACAAAATGAAGCTAGCTATAGACACCAGGAGGTGACCAGAGACAAAACCAAAAAAAGGAAGGGGTTTAGTTGTAATATTACAGGGAAGCACCAAAATGACATTTTTAGACCAAAACTGAAAACCAAAGTTTCAAAACCTGTCAGGTCGAAAGCAGAAAATGATTTTTTCTCCAACCTATTTCAGATTTTTCACATTCTTTTTTTGCACACATGCATTTCTTTTTTGCAATACCAGTGTCCAACTGCAGGTCACAACACTGCACTGCTGTGCAGAGACCTAAAATGAGTGCACACTTTCTACAATCCTAATAAGAGTTTTTTTTGTTTTGATAAAAACCACCCACACAAACTATGGGAGCCCATCACAGCGCCCACCCACCAGACCTGTCACACTACACAGGAGAAGACATGTACAGTGTGTGTTGTGGCTACATAAGCAGGATATGAACAATGTGATTTTCGGGCAGATCTTCATGAACCCACCAAAACTAAAAATCACAGTGGGTGCCACTGCCTGCACCCTCTTCTGCCCGGCATCCCTCGATCAGCTCATCGAAGAAGCAGGTTGGAAAATGCTTTGGCAGTTGTCAGAATACAATGACAACAGGGGGGTTCGTCCATGCATGCTCGTAAGCCTTGGAGGAATGCGTTATATTTTCTTCATTAAGCCTGCAGGCTGAACAAAGAAAATATAACCATGTATACTAGGGCTGCAACAACTAATTATTTTTTTTATTCAAAAGTCAGCTTTATTGAGTGAAAACACAATACACGGGAATCACATATAGAAATAAAGCATTCGGAATACAAGCAATATAACATTGGTGGTGTGCCCCTTATGAGAGGGCAATCATCGGCAAGCAACAACAACTCTATCGGGCATATTTCACGATGTATAAGCATTTTGTATGATGGAAAGCAGGAAATGCCTCAATTGAAGGGTTCCCCAGGAGTCCAACGGGGGGTCCAGTAGGCGGCAGATTTATCTGGCGGAGAGCCATCGGTCGGAGGAGCGCATATCGCAGACCCGGAACTTATTGGCATCCCGGAGGCGACGAAATCCGGGCTAGTCTACCTCAGGAGGAAAGTCAGGGTCCCCCAAGTACCGGGGTCATGGGCGACGGAAAGGGGGAAGAGATCGGAGGAGCGAAAAAGCGACCTAACCTGCGTCAACGTGGGGGCAATGGTGGGGTGAAGACGTATAGCAGAGGCCAAAAGGTGAGGAAAGCCATGGCAATCCCTCCAGGGTGCAACAACTAATTGATTATAATCGATTGAAAAAGTTGTCAACGGTTTCAATCATCGATTAATCGGCTTCCTGTTCACGGCTCCACACACGCTGCGCACCGCACCTCCTCCCTACCTCACGCTCGCCACTGCCAGACCTGCCCGCCCGCAACCTCCTTCCCGCCTCACGCTCACCGCCTGCCCACATCTATGATCGGCAGAAGGACAGTGGGGAAAAGTAAGGAGTAGCAGGTGGGGGGGTGGGGGGAAAAATCAGTCGGCGATAGACAGGCCCGATCTCAGAAGCAAGTTGCTGGAAGACTGCTCAGGTAAGCCTGCACTTTCCCCACACATGGTGCTCTACGATGTATTGATGGGATTTGTATTCCTCTATAGCTGATGGTACATTGTGCTGTAAAATATACAGCACAATGTACCATCAGCTATAGAGAAATACAAATCCCAGCAATAATACTATATATAGTGGTGCAATGCAGAATACCACCAGCTATAGAGGACTACAAAACCCAGCAATAGTACATTGTACAGCGCAATGCAGAATACCGCCAGCTATAATGTACTATTGCCGAGTTATGTAGTCCTCTATAGCCGGTGCCATTCTGCATTCATTGCTGTATAATTTTACACTTTCCATTTCACTATCTTGCACACCACTTCTCTTTTTTTTTTTTCCTTTTTTACTTCCTCTGTTCCAAGCTTGCTCCAAACTAGTAGTCCCATCACTGGAGCCATTTTTTAAAATGTATTTTTTTTATCTGATTAAATCGAACTTAATATATGGGCTAACTAATCGATTTTGAAAATAATCGTTAGCTGCAGCTCTAGTGTATACCCAGATGTAGTTCTAGATATTTGTACACCCAAGTAATACAAGTAACAAAACCCTGTTTAGATTTATTACATCAAAGACAATCAAATATCAGATATAATGTTAACAATCTAAACATTTATACTGTTGCTAATCACACATGAAATGAAGAGTTATTTTATTCAGCATGGAATACTCACTCTAGCAAGTCAACATTGATAAAACGGCACCATACCTGGGTGATCAAAGTTAAACTGGCCCTTCAGCGCCTTGCTTTTCTGCTCCGTTGTCAGTATCTGATAAAAACTGTCCTGACTTAACATGACAACTTGCTTCTGATGATGATCCACCTCATTTTGTCCCAGAAGCTGTACAATCTTTGAACAGACAGATGACTGTGCCAAAAACAAAAATAGATAAATTGACATGAGAAAGAGAATACATTTGGTCATAGTGCTGAATATCTGGTCATAGTGCTGAATATCTGGTTCTATCTAAAATGAAAGAGTGAAGTGTCAAAGTAGAACAGTACAGAATCACACCTTTTTTTTTTACAATTATTGAGCAGATAAATCACTTTCATTGGTATATTTAAACAGAGCAAAAAAGGGAGCAAATAAGATCATTTTTGAGGGTTTGCATATCGTTTAAGCATATTAAAAAAACCTGACCCCCACTAATGCTGGACGACACGTAGGCATCATCACAATAGGCAGGGCTTTTCTTCAGGGGCCACGTTGCATGTGACCTCTGTGTAGTTTGGTGCACAACAAATATAAGAGTTCTGTGCTGGTTCTCATATCTGTATTATTTTATTTTTTTGGTCTCAATACTTAAACCCTTTCCTTGCCATAAGCCCCCCTGCCAGACACGCCCCC